CCCCTATGTAATCCTCTTCAAATTATGTTTCTGAAGTTGTTTTGTCCAAAAAGCAAGCCATAACAAGAATAGGAGTTCGGCCAGGTTTGGTCCCAAAAGCACTGAATTGGGGAAAGGCATAACAAAATCCAGGCCGTTTGACCCCGCCTGCAACAGTGCATCGTGCGGTTCGAACCCCAGTTCAGGTACCCTTTTAGGACCTTTTTCAAATTTCAAATTTCGCAGCTTTGCGCTGTGTACGATGAAATCACGAAATATCCTCAAATATGGGAGCTCACCAGAGCCAGGGCCCATTGTTTTATGAATGGGCTGTAGTTCACGTTCGACGGGGGGGGGGGGGGGGGGTGGAACGGGACGCAACACAAGGATCGCCGGGAAGCAACAGGACTATCATTCTGATGGCGTCCAATGTGAACACCATGAACGGGAACGAAATCTTACTACTTTGTGAATCGGAAGCGACGGGAAAAGTTCGATAATTTCAACTCTTCTTACTGTAGACGGGCGTACACGGGGACGCAAGCGTACAAAACCCCTGCTTTCTGAGTGTGAACACGAGACGGCGTCGCGCGCCAACTCCTCCCGATTCGTACTTGGGCGTGTTTAGCATATTGAACACGGCGCTGCTCATGATATCTCGCAGAATTGCTAATACAACTTAATTTGAATTTCAGCAAGATAAGATCTAATGTAACTTATTTATTATTTGAAACTCGGATGTTGAGCCATAAATAAATGTGGAAGAGAAAAGGACATATGGATACGAGTTAAGTAAGAGTTAAGCTAGGTGTCAGGACGTCGAATGTTTCAGTACTCTGTCAGTTTTGTGCCTAGTTATTGCACTTTCTGACTGTATATAGTATCATGTTACAGTGATGGAGAGTTACTCTTAACTCGTATCCGTATGTCCTTTTCTCTTCCACATTTATTTGTTATTTATTTGTTTATTTATTTCTGCTCCTCGTAGCATGTCAAGACAGCCAATTGAATTGAGGAGAGGGTGAGACCAACCACGGAAGAAGAAAAAAAAGAAAACAAAGAGCACGTACACAAAGTGGGAAGGGATTAGCAACTTACAAAGTTATGGGATGCTCAGCGAGCTATGCAGCGGAAGTGGGGACTCTGACTTTGTTTACTGGGAGATACTGAAGTGCTGTCTGACAAGGGTACGGAATTTGGGCATATCTGGAGCTTTTCTAACACTGGGAGGTAGTTATGGGGGTATAACTATTTAGGGATAGTTCAAGAGTATGACAGACAGAACTGTTTATCATTTCCTGGGGTTATTATTAGAATGGCACGACTTTCAGGGCTCCTTTTTTGGTCTTCATGTAAAATTGGTATTATGACCTCGATTCCGCTTCATTCAAGGAGTAAAAATTGAAAACAAATTCTGAAAAATTAGAAATTTGGTCCGAAATTCTCCCCTTCACGGACCATGCCTTATGACTCGTACAGTTCGCATTTAAACAGACTGCAGCACGTGCCGTACGAATCGTACAAGATTTTGCCGCTCACCCCAGCCGTCCCGACAGCCCCTTACGTCCTGTAACGTCAGCGTTGCGTCGAATGAGCACTAGGTTTAAAAGAAATTTGTCAAAGACCAACTGGACAAATACCTCAACGACTAAAACTCCCTACCACGCAATTTGCATACAGCTCCGGTCACTGGACGGAGGATGCCCTTGTGCGAGCACTGGAACGATGGAAGGACTCAACGTTCCAGAGGAGAACTACTGGCATTGTCATGATTGATATTTTGACCGAGTCCAACATCAATGCCTCGTCACAGAACTGCATTCACTGGGTTTTTATGATAATATTATGATCTTAGAATGTTTCATCAGATACTTGTCGGTTGTCGCCAACGGATAAAAGTGGGCAGAAGACTGTCTCCTGAAGTGTCCGGCAGCAAAGCTGTGCCACAAGCAAGTACCATCGGTCCGCTTCTTTGTGTTTTGTATACACACGCTATGAATGAAGTTCTTACCGCCATTAGCCATCAGGAGTTTGCCGACGACATCGTCATTGACTTTCCACACTCAGATCCATTGTTCCTTGTTCAGACGCTCTTGAAAAGCATCACCAAGCTCGCTAAATGGCTGGAGGAACTCGGGCTCCTCCTTGACAAGAGAAGAACCCGAATCATGTTCGTAAAGCCACGAGGGCAGCCTAACCCACTTTGTCTCGTCTACTGTTATAGGGATGAATTTGCCACGGGGTCCTCAGCAAGTTACCTTGGTGTTACCATGTTCGACGACCTGAACTGGCGTTCCCATATCCCGTAGATACGCGGCATGTGGATACGCTGAATCTTCAAGCTCCGCGGACGTGGTACGGTACGTTGCCATGATCCGGGGGAAACTGTGCTACGCCGCATACTCCCTCTACCCCTCTCTCACTGCTCCGCACAGCCTTCTAATTGCATAATCCCGTTGCCACCCAGCCCCTGCCCAAGACACTTCGGGTGTCCACCCTTGAACAGCTCTGCCGTCAGAAAGTCATTGTCTTCGTCTTCCGTTGTCCTCACTATACTGGCAAGATACTGGCGCAAGGTGTGAACACTCAACTAACTCACATAGGTGATAAATCAAAACAATGGGCAAAGCGCAGAAGGGAGGTGCAGAACGAACCCTACACGACACAACTATCACACTTTGCAAAGTCAATCACAATGAGAACAAGTGTATAGAGTTAGACGCTAACCCATCAGTGCAGATCTGGATGGATACGTCGATTAAGAATACCGCACTTCTCGACTATGCCACACCCCAGCAGCCTTCCTTTCACCTACCACTGGTCGAATATTCAATGTTCGAGGTTCCTGAAGTATTTGCCTTCTGTATTTAGCAATTTTCAGATATGACGTTGGACGTCCATGATGATTTTTTGGCTTTCCCATGGCGTATACTTTTCACCTATCTTTTTCCCCACCCAGTACTCTATGTAACGTGTAATCTAGCGCAACCTACTCCTGTATACCTCTCCTTTTCATTGTGATAGTTGTGTCTTGTAGGCTTTATAACATCTCTATTATGCATTATAATTTGTGTTGATTTGTCACATATGTGAGTTAGTTGAGCGTTGACAATCAACGTGGCAAGTAGCAGTGGGTTCAAATTCTGTGATTGGCGGTACTGTCGAACACATGGTGCAGAGGAAGAGGGGTGGAACACTATGCCAATCGAAAGTGCCTTCCCCATCATAGTCCTTGCCGCCACTGGAACCACCACCAGTGCTATTGGTGGCTGGAATTGGGGTGGAGTCGTCAAAAGCCACAGTACCACCAATCACAAAACTGAACCCATTTCTTGGACACAATATCCCGTTGTCCGCACACCGCAGCTCACTGCAGCGCTTGAGCCGTTCGAACAGAGACCGTGGAAGTCTCCTGCGAATTACTCAACGGGGATTTATTCAGAGATTGGTCAAATCCCACGCAGAGCAGCGAAGGAAAACATAAACCAGTAGCAAAGCGAAACACAATTTGGAGGCGCTGATAAGCTACAAAGAGAGACGCGTGGAAGACGTAGCAGGGAGACTGACTGGCAGTGAAGATGCTTTGCATGACGATGCGGCGGATGACGGCGAAGCCGATGACGATGAGGCGGCTGGTGATGGCGATGGAACGGACGTTGAGGAACCAGGCGGAAGGGAAGGTGATGGAGCTGATAAGGGTGAAGTTTGTAAGAAGTCAGCTGTGTACTTGCATTTGCTATCACGTCCCGATTGTGTGAGCGTGTATGGTGATTCCTATTTCTCCGTAAAGTGTCATGCCCGTTATTTACAGCAGCTGGAGGTCCTGGAAGCTATTCGAATTCGGACGCAAAAGCCTGATGTTTGTAAGCAAAAAGAACATGTTGTAGCATTTAGGTTATTTGCGTGAGTCTACACCCCTTGTTCATGATTTGTTTCTGCACTTTCGAGACCCATTTTTCATGCTCACTTGTCACACTGACATTTTTTTCTTTTTTGTAGGTCTCACTTTTGTAATACTTACGTGTCACTTGGATTTTTAATCTTTGCTTTTTGGCTTGATCACTTTAGTTGCTACCAGGTTAGGCCTTTATTTTTCTGTGCCGCGCTGATGAGTTCTCAAGGACGAAGCAGTTCTGTTCGCATATTGAGTATTTGAATATTTATTATTTAAAGGGTTTCCCAAAGGCATATCCCGTAATCAATAATCTCTTAGCCTCTATCAGGTTGGACACATATTTCTCTGAGTTTTGCTGACGAGTTCAGAAAGGATGCGACAGTGCTGTTCGCAGATTGATTCATTTTAACATCTAGAAAGCTAGGGCCATCGTCCTTGTCTAATTATTTCTGTTATTTTGCACGACACTGACCAACGGTACTGACGTTCTATACCTAACTGGCAATCAGCTCTAGCCCATTTTGGAAAGTTCTAAGTTATAGAAATAATATAAGGAGGGGAAGGTGAGCGCAACCACGATAAGCACGGGCTGAAAATGTCAGCTGTGAAGGACGTTGGCGGATGTACACGTACGTCGATGACGTTACTTGCAAGACCTTTGGACAACACGGTCAAACCACGATTCAAGGACGGAAAGCAACTTTATACGGAACTGGTGTAGGGAAAAGATGCTAAGATCAATTAAAGGGAAAGGTATGCGAGCAGGAATCATGCAAAACTGAACGCCTGAATAATATCTTGGTCCTTGGTTGCTTGGTCATTTTTCTTTTCTAGAAATTTATCTTTGGCTCTCCGTCCGAGTCAATTCTTGCACACCTGATGAGCCATCCTTATCTGTACGGCGAAACAATCATCGTGTGCTGCATGTTGCTCCTGCTTATTGTCCTTCTAAATTTTCATAGTCAACGTACAGTGCTGTTTTATTGGGGCATTCGGTTTTCCTTGGTCCTTTTTCTTCCTATAAATTCATCCTTGGCTCTCCATCCGAGTCCATAGTGTGTTTTCAAAATGATTCCGTGCATTCAGTGCAAGTGCAGGATAAGACAACAAAAAGAATAGAACGTACCCATGGTAGTGGCTGGATCCGTAGGAATAACTGCAAAATATAACGGAGAAAAATGCACACACGCACAGATATCAGCACACAGATACCAGCACACAAAGCACATGCGTTATAGACAGAAAGACATAAGAATACTATGTCTTTCTGTTTCAAATTATAATTATTACAGGGTGCGACATATCTATCGGCCAATGTATAAAATGTTGATATCACCTCCACCACTACACTTCGCTCTCAGCCGACTACACCCTCCTGCACACAACCATCACCATTGCAAGGACATTTCTATTGACGGTATTAATAACGTTTATTTCTTCACACGCTTGTTACCTAATACATGGCTCATCAGTTAAGGTACTTCGAAGTGGATGTTGGTTGATTAGAATATACATGACCAAACTGCTATGATAGGGTTTTTCACATACAAAGCTGAACATTACAGTGTTATGCCCCAGGGGCTGCAGGGGCTATCGACGTCGCGGGTCGTGAGGTGAGTTTTCAGGCTTTCATGGCGATTTCACAAGTGCACTACACCGGCTCTTACTAGTTACACAGTGCACTGATTCTGACACATTATTTCTGCATTGAAAGTGATTTTCCTTAGGGTGTGCAGACTCAAATAATAAAATCCTAATTTTCGAGCCAGGCCTTAAGTAATATTGATAGTATTAGATATAGATTTTCCGCGCTGAATTTCTGACGCTGCATGCATGTCCCTTGCGTGTCAACAGTACTCCACACTTTCCTTTTCCCACACTACCACCTCAGCTATGCCTAACCATGGCAAGATGGTAGTGTAGTCCATGTTCCATTAGCTTGGCAAGTCACTGAAGACGGCATTGAGATAGTATGGAAACCAAGCGTACATGACACAGTAATGCCACTGCCAGTAGTACTCCTGGGTATAGTCATCACTGTTGTAGAGTTTAACTCTGGACAATGTGTTGCTGTGCATAGAACCAATACGAAAGAAAACAAATCAATGCATACCGAAAGACCAAATGGAAAGCGAACTCCAATATCAACAGAGTAATCTTTTGGCAAAGGCCATGGTCAATAAACGGATATTGCTCCGCATTCTGATGGTGTTGTTACAACTCAGTGGCATGTAGCTCTCGCGTTATGTTTTTATGAAAGTAAGACAGCTGAAACGGACGGTGTTAATTCGAATGGATTCCTGGCTATTAAGGCTCTACATGATTGAAATCAATTCCCGGTGATGCAGCTGTGTTCAGTGACGAATTGGAACAGTAATCTACTTCTTAGATTGCCATGAAGCAATAATTATTGGCTCGCGCCACTGCACAATAACTTTGATATCGACATTAGGTGTCTCCAGCGTCCTGTATCCACCATAGCATATGGTATAGCATATAAATAATTTGAAACGCAAGAATCGGGTTTGTGTTATCAGAGAGCAAGGCACTTACACTGCCATAAAAAAGGTGAGAAATAACACCTGTAACGAAGCGACATTAAGAACTAGTAATACAGAGGACCAAGTGTGTGAACAAAATAATAATAATAATAATAATACTCGCGGGATCCGCGTCGGCATCGCTTGAATGTTCAGAAACACACAAACTAGCCTTCGCATCCGCAGGCCACCACTTTGCCTGTTAACCTTAGTGGCGAATGCAGACCTCACAAGTGAGTCAGGGGAGAGGAGGTTAGTCTCTCAACCAATCGGGCGTGTAACGGCCCATAACCCTGTAAACTGCATCCTTGTTATTCTCACTCCGAGCTGTGAGTACCCAGTTGACCGTGGGTGTCGGCGCAGTTCAACACGCGTAAAAAGTCTTTTTACACGCTCCCTGCTACCAATAGGCCTGGGCGGATAATGCTAGCATTATAAGTAGCATTATAATGTGCGGTTTGCAACGAGCATTATGCTAGCATTATAACACTACATTTCCGCAAAAGTGGCATTATAGTAGTTATACTTAATGGTCCTTACTTCTGCGAAAACCAGGCTTAGGGTGAAAATCTCTTTTTTTTGGAGAAAAATGATGTTTTGTAAAAAGGTTGTGTTGCGTAGACGCTCGAGTGCAGTGAAGTGGAACCAAAGAGAATCTCGCTTGTTTGAAGAAGTAGCAGTCATGGCAGGAAGGGTTTCAGCAGTCAGGGAAGTCAAAGGGCTTCCGGTAGAATATTCCCTGCTACTCCTCTAGTCACAACGAAGAGTTTTTGAGCTGATCGAACGGATTCCATCTCCTACACTCAGGGATACCGAAATTTCTGCGCTAGCTGCTGCTTGCGGAAAATGGTGAAGAAATCGTCTCCAGTTAGAATCGTGATGGCGATAACGAGGAGAACCTGGACGACATCGATCCAGCCAATCGAAGTACGGAGATACTAGCTGTGTCTGGGCCTCACACAAAGGGAACACGCGCAGCAAAGCTCATACGTTTGCAGCAAGTTCACCAGGAAAAGGGCTTGAAGCGCAGTGTGAAAACTGTTTTGAATTGAAGTCCTTGGCGATGAAGTGCTACTGAATGGCAGGCGAATGAGCGAGCAGAACGAGAGGCCTCCACTCGAGACTTTCCTCGCTGGACAGCTAGCTGCATGGGATTGTATGGAGCAATAGCAGCATAAAATAGCATTATGATCATGATTTTCTAGCATTTTCCATGCCGTCTACGCAGAACTACGAAACGTGCACAATACTGCCCAAACCAAGCCATTTTTCCATACTTACTACTGGTGAATTGCTGGCATTACAGAGGAACAGTAGCATTACAAGTAGCATAACGATACAATTTTTCTGGCATTGCCATTAGCATTATCCTGCAAAATAACTAGCATTATCCGCCCAGGCAGAACTACGAAACGTGCACAATACTGCCCAAACCAAGCCATTTTTCCATACTTACTACTGGTGAATTGCTGGCATTACAGAGGAACAGTAGCATTACAAGTAGCATAATGATACAATTTTTCTGGCATTGCCATTAGCATTATCCTGCAAAATAACTAGCATTATCCGCCCAGGCCTAGCTACCAACGCGGGTCTTGAACTCGGGACCTCATGATTCGCAGGCAGGCCTGCAAACCAATCGGCCATATGCGTTGGATGCGTGAACAAAGCTGAAACCAAATAAGCGCTAACTGTCACAGGATAAATCTAAAACATCAACAACATGGATAAGTGAGAAAATATCTGGCCAGGGCTGGCCAAACAAACCACGTTATACTACTTGAACAATTTTAAATGAAGGAACTTACGTTGACATTTGCCCATGGTCCATTGGAGGTTTTGTCCACAAATACAGTTGACCGCTGCCATTCCCACTACATGATTACAATCCACCACATTAGCGTCATTGCATTTCAGGATGCACCCTGGAGGGAAGAAAATGATATTATCATTATTGCCTTCGACGTTGTGAAGATGGACATCGAATTTAGGTGACATCCTATTTTTTTCCAGCCCCGCCATAACTTGAGCCCGATACCTTGTTTGTCCCGAGCAATACTCTAACCATCTAAACCATGGGACAAGGCCGAACCTAGAAGGCGCAGACAGGCTTTCACTCCAAAGGCCAAATGTGAATGTTTGTTTCCTTGGAAATGACATTGGATATTCCTTTTAAAATATTTTGGTTTTCCTTGCATAACTGGTATACGTCGAAGTAAAGACTTACTTTCGCACAAAGGTTGACTTGGTTGCCACCTTCCATTGCCCTGGCATGTAGACTGGGTTATTTCCATTCTATTGTTAGACAGAAATCCTGTTATGCATTCGATGGAGACTGTGGTACCTGGTAATGTGTTGAACCTGGCAACAGGTTTGTAATTCAACTTGCTGTTAGTGAGAGTAGGACATTGCGCTGGGAACGAAGAGGCAAATTCAATGCAGTTACTCACAAGGAGTGAACACCCCACGACTAAAACCATTGCTATGACGGTCCATAGAGATAGAAGCAGACAATATTTAGGTAATTACGCGGAACATGGGTATACCTTGACCTGCTGCACCTGTCCATGATTTGGTGAAAACTAATTATTCGCAGGTTTCAATAGGACAAGAATAGGTGACAATTTGATGAAACCTGGAAAACGAATAACAACCGGTGTTAACATGGCAGGAAAACAACAACTTTTGGAATGGCAGAGCATGCATGGTTTTGCAAGAAGTGTGCTCGGTGTGCGTGGGTAATTTTTCATGGAGAGATGACCATTAGTACATTCATCCTAAGGATAGGTTACTGCATGGCTGGGAAGACATTGTGGCTTGTTCAGTTATCCGAAATGTTATCCCAAGTTATGTACGTCAAAGTGGAAGGTGATGGAAGGAGAGGATTCTCAATAGCTTCAGTTGCAATCCCAGCAACCCAACAGCAGCGAACATTAGCAGCTAGTGAAGTGCCAGAGGTTGCCTCACTTTGTTCAGTTCATCCCTGGATGAATCCCTTTTGGCCACGCGCGTACGTGGCACAGGTGATAAAAAATGTCCAGGTGTTGTGCATTTCCGATAGCACTCTCAACCGTGTCAATTACTAGCTCTATGCTCAACATACAATACGTGTGCACATCAGTGCAGTGCATTGTGATCTGCATGCATATTCGACATGACTGTACATTTGACTTCATAGTCAAATATCTTCAAAATGTACCCTTGAAGTTTGATCACAGTCTACTTGAGGAACTCCTGCAAGTAGGCGAGATGTAGTTTATGATAGATGTCTCATGCTTGTACAAACTCAAAACACGACGGCATTAGTGAATCAGATGCGTGGGTCATGACGTATAAATGCATGTATATTCTGTCCTCAGACTCCTCACATACAACGGAGGCGAACGGCTGTGCAGCATGCATGCCTGATTTCAGTATGTCACAATATTGCAGAGCGCTTCAAGATTCACGCACGGACGCGCAGCAAATGCCACGGAGATGAGTTAGAGGCTGCTTACATTGCCAAAACTACAGCCTAACTACGTAGAAAGAAGGAATTTGTTACGAAGCTAGTGCTATTTTGACCTCCCGCCTCTCTCTTATAGTAGAGAGGTTCCGCACTACGTAAAGTACAGCAACTTTACGTTAGTAGGCGGGGAAAACCCGTGAATTCGCGAGTTTGCATTCTACTTACGGAAAGTTGATAACGTAGAGTACGTAGATAGGGCTCTGATAACGGAGGTGCTCCGTAAATGGATCGGGGGATAAGTTTATGACTCTCTGCCGTATCTCTGCCGTATATGTACATCAGGGAGTCGTCAAATACCGTATTTGACGACTCCCTGATGTACATGTATCTCTTCGGTTCTGAAAGCTGAAATGGAAAAAAGTGCATCGACACTGGACGACAGTTTACTTTCACTTCCTCCAAGCTTTGCCGGTGCTATTTTTTTAGCCATGTCTTCATCCTCTTGTGATTTATCTGTTTCATCTTCGCCTGTCGCATCGAGTGGTAAGTCCACTCGATTTCACTTTGGGGTTGCGGACGATTGTGCTGTACTCAGGCAGATCAGTGGATACCCCAAACCGTTCTCGTTTGGGTCGAAAGCTTGGACTGAAATTTCAGTAGCCCTTGCACACCAGCTGCCAGGCGTCAAGCCTCGCACTATCAGGGAGAGGGTGATACACCTCGTGGAGCTCCACATGAAGGGAGAGAGGACTTCAGCAAAACAGTAAGTACTGTAGCTGCTTGACGAAAATTAGAGGCAGGACAATTTTTCTTGTGAAGTTAGTTTATGCATGTAGCTATCAGAATCTTGTGAAGTCCATGCTATAAAATTTGAATAACGCATGAGTATGGTGTGTGTGTGTGTGTGTGTGTGTGTGTGTGTGTGTGTGTGTGTGTGTGTGTGTGTGCATAATTATGGTCTGTGCTTTGTGCATAGAGTGGATAGAGTGGGTAATCCAGGGACTCCTATAGAAATGGATTGTTTTGACTGCTGCACAAACAATTATTTACCTGTAGATCGGGCACAGCGGAGAGTTACAACGAAAAGGACCAGCTCCTCACAGATGTCGCCGAGCTGTATAACGAAGAGCTCGATCGAAAGTCGGAGAAAGAGTCCACGGCCAAGAAGGCGGACGCAGATAGGCGTCTCGGGATGCAGATCCGTGAGGACTCGCTGAAGCCCTTGCGTGAGAAGGCCACTACTGCAGCTAAAGGTGCAGGTGAGAAGACTTCTACTAGTGCACGTTTTCTCTTGTTATAAGTTGGGATGGAAATGAAAAAGAATGATTATTTATTTTTGAAATGTATGAATGGTATCGAACGCTCATCTATAATCTGTTCTGTGGAAAAACACAAAGAAAGTCTTCCACACCTGATTGTATTTCCATGTTTCTTCATTTTTTACGCAGAACCCGCGGCAAAGCGCCCGAAGGTTGATGAACCACGGGCAAAACACAACGCACCCGGGAAAGGTGAGGATCAACTATCTCTTGTGACTTCAGATCTGTGCATGGCATAAGGTTGCTGCATCTGTGGTTAAAACAGCACAGATAAACAACTGGGCTAAGCCTTTCCTGAAACGTTGCTTTATTTTCCTCTCTTACAGAACACGCCATGGAGAAGAGACAAGCCGTTCTCGCTGACATGCGTCAGCATTTGTCTGATCTGAAGAAGATGAAGCAAGAGGAGATGGACATGAGAAGGGAGGAGCTTGAGCTCAGGAGGCAGGAGTTGGCACTCAATAAGCAGCGTCATGCATAAACAAACGAGTAAAAGCCAATACATTTGTTGCGCAATGGAATGAACATGCAAGAAAATGTGTGTGCGGTTATGGGATAAATAATTTTGGATTTCATTTTTATGATAAATATGAGAATATAAGGAATAATGCATGCCTATAAACAATGTTGTTCAAGTTACAACTGAAGATACTCCTCCAGCAAAGGAGCAGCCATTGGTGGAGCAGCATTCTCTCCTTCCTCCGGTTGGCTGAAAAACTTGGCTGTTTGGCTGCCATAGAGGCACTTGTAGCAATTGATCAGCAGACCAGACACCAAGTAAATCATACCAACCGGCTGGAGGAGTATCTTCAGGTTCTTCTTGAAGTCAACGAAGGCAAAGATGGTTTGGAGTTTGCCAAATTCCCACTCCACAGCCACGCGTACTGCACTCAATTCGCGGTTGAACTGGCGCTGTTCAGGGGTCAGATGTAATCCGCGGAACGGACTCAGAAGGTATGCACTGACGGGATACGCCGGATCACCATACAGGCTGTACACTGCTGGTGCTCCAGGGTCGGGGTTCGGCCTATTCATCCGGCCCTGGAGCTGATGCAGCAGCCCAGATTCCGCAAGCAAAAAGGCATCGTGGCGCCTGCCCTCCACAGGACCATAGAGGTGCGCAATCATCCCGTCTGGTGTGACCACACTCTGAAATTTCAGAGCGTGGACACGCTTATGGCCATTGTAGACAAGTCGTTGGCCGACACCGGGCCTGCACGTGGGGCGTACAGTCCCATCGATAAATCCCCACACGTTTCCCAGAGGACATTTCCGCTGAATTGCTTCAGCATACCGCTCCAGGCGTTCGTCGGATAGCCACGGGTGATTTAAGCTCACTAACAAATCACTCCAGTGCTCGTGAAGAAAATATAAAGTTGAATTAAAAATTTCCGACAGGTCGCTCTTTGGCCGGCCAAATATTTCACGCATTTCACACAGACGGCATGGATATGCTAGCCTGCCAAAAGAAGAAGGAAAGAGGCAAAAGCATAGCACACACAGAATGCTTCAGTAAGTGTGTGTTTATCCTTATGCAGCCACAAACCAGTAGTGGGTAAGTGGGTGTGTATCCTTATGCAGCAATCCACTACCCAAAAGCAGTTCCATTCCATTAGAGGACTGAGCTTTGCCTATCAGAAATCGATCGCAGCGAGTTTGGATTTCGTGTAGTGTGTGTTTATCCTTATGCAGCCACATACCAGTAGTGGGTGAGTGGGTGTGTATCCTTATGCAGCAATCCACTACCCAAAAGCAGTTCCATTCCATTAGAGGACTAAGCTTTGCCTATCAGAAATCTATCGCAGCGAGTTTGGATTCCGTGTAGTGTGTGTTTATCCTTATGCAGCCACATACCAGTAGTGGGTGAGTGGGTGTGTATCCTTATGCAGCAAATCCACTACCCTAGAAGCAGTTCCATTCCATTACAACACTGAGCTTTGCCTATCAGAAATCTGTTGCAGCGAATTTGGATTCCGTGGATGTATACCGACTGGTTATCAAGTCCAAAATCATGGCAAAACAAAAAGTGTTACTTGCATACATGCACGCGCACACACACATACACACAACAAATGAACACACAGGTCAACAGGATTTAGGCGTCTGAAACTTCCAAGCATACTCACACAAATAAACACACGCACACGCACACACACACACACACACACACACACACACGCACACAACACACAGACAAAACTGACTCGCATAACTGCCTGAAGAGTCCTATAACGCGCTACAGACTTGCTCACCTATACAGGACAACACACAATCCTTCGAAGCCAGACCATCGCTTTTTGCGGCTCTGGTTGTGCATGACATCAGGGAGCTGAAGGGCAGCCATGAGTCGGTCCATGTCATATTTCTGGAAGCGGAAACACTCCCTCCACTTCGAGTCTATCCACTTTGGATCGGTTCGGTCGAACCGAACATATCCGGCCGCCTCCCCTGGTTCCTGCACACCATCGTTGTCCTCCTCCTCCTCTCCATCCAGCTGCTCCAACAAATCGATTAGGCGATCGGCCAGCTCCAGATCACCATCAGCTCCGTCTAGCAGCACGGCTTCAAGCAGTAGCAGAACAGCATCCCAGTCTTCCGCCAAAGCCATAACGGTATAAAAAAAAACTAAACTAAACTAGAGAACCAAACTAAACTAAACTGAACTAGAAAACTGAACTACAAGTACAACAAGAACTAGTCGCTTGTGCTTGGGGTGCGCGTCGCGTACGCGTACGGAGTTGCCATGGGCAGCCACGCAGTCCGCAAACTACGTATGGCGGAACACAGACCGGCATGCAGTGTACGTAAAACTTTCCGTAGATCGATAACGGTTTTTACTAACGTAATTACGTTATGCGGAACCTCTATAGTTTTTGCACAATTTGGTGCTACTCACACAGTCATTCATCCTGTGTATGTTTAATCACAACTTTTCCGCCGATATGATGTATTTAGGAAACTTCACTTTTCAACTCCAAACTCCAAAAACTCAAAATCAAATTTATATTTACATTACACCAAATTTTCAGGCCTGGCCAATCATCATGATAATGAATGACAAAATGTTAATTGAAAAGGTACTTATTGAACTAGTTCAGTATTATGTATGAAGGCAACAACTAATGACACTGAGAATCTGAGAGAGTGAATTTGTTGGTGTGAATATGTTAGGTGACGATTATGAAGGAAGTAATTGTAGGTGATGTATGTCTCAGCGGTAACGTGTGTTTGTGTTGGGGGGGGGGGGGGCTTCAATTAATCTCATTGGACATATGCAAATACAGAGGGATACATTATCTATCCACATTTACGACATGCCGTGGCAACGGAATTACATATACATGTGTAGAATATCACCTACATCCAGCCTGCGGACTAATCACTAGCCCATAATCCCTTCCTTGAATTGTTGGTGTTTGAGTGTATAATTATGTGTGTCTGGTGTCTGTGTGTGTATTGGTGAGAGTGTGCGTGTGCATTGGCTACTAAGAATAGTCGGCTAAGAGCCCTCTGAGGAGTAGAAGAGGAGGACAGATTGTTGATATGCTGTATAAACTATAGATGGACATTGTTGTGGTTATATTATCACCATCTACATATTTGAGAAATAATGTATGTTTCTTTCTTTGTTATATTTGAATTCCTTTGCTTGAGTAATGGTACGAAAGGCCTCATCAGAGGCAACTGCCTTCATTTCTTCATATGCCAACATATCCTCATTGTTAAAGTAATATAACCTTTACACTTTCGGGCCTACCTTGAAGTGACCGCAAGCCGAAATTTCCTGCATTTTGAGTGTGCATCGTTCTATTTTTCATCGCAGCATTGATTTCACTTGACCAATTGTGACATTACTCTGCTTTTTCTTTAACTCATTATTTGGTAAACGTTCGCTCGAATTCCGGAATGTCTTGCAGTGCATGAATGGTCTTTCAACTCCAGCCAACAGTGGCGGTAAAAGGTTTAACGTGACTGATTTTTAAGTTGTCATCACCCACATCACACTAGCTAATAGTTCTGAACAAATAACGTTACCAACCTTGAACAGTGACAGAGACAGTGGTAGATATTCCCTGGGCTGCATTCACACATCTGTCAATGACACTTTGTGGACGTGGAGGATTAGAACCCATTCCAATACAATCAAAGTTTGTAATATACGATGTGGTACAGGTTACATTGAAGGTAACACCTGATGTATCACTTTCTGTAAACACAATCTGGGAATCATTCCGCCGGAAGCTGTACATAGAATTCACCATATTGGCAGGCATAGTTGTCTGTATCATCTGTTTGTCCAGAGATAATGTTGAGCTCCAAGATACGCTGATAGGAAAGTTTCCACTTGACATGCATGGTATGGTGTACGAAACACCAGAGTAGGGCAATGTCAGTGATGTAGGTGATATTCCAGACCGAACTTGATGAGCTGTACAATAAGGACATACGGGGTAGTACAATAATTAAATGGGCCTCAACCAGCGAAAACAGCCCTTAGGGTCAACATTTTCAAAATTCCTATTTGGTTAGAAATTTGTTGAACCACATCTACTGAAGGACCTCAGCCAAGAAAAAGTTCAATATTCCGATTCTAAACGGGTGTATACACCAATATACAATATGTACTCCAAATTGGTGCAATGTATGTATACAATTAATGTGTACAATGAATATTCAGCATTCGAAGGCGGGTGGGCAGCTTTAATACTTTTGAAATAGTGAAGTAAGCAGCTATAATGACAAAGAATAGCTAATGAGTGCGGAGAGATGATCGACATATTCGCAGCTTCATCCTGCGTGGAGTCGTTCCGCAATCTCGTCTTCCATTTCTTCCTCCGCAGCTGAAGACACGACGTCGCTGCCGTCACTAGCCCCAGACTCAGAATTTATCTCATGTGATGACTCCTTATCTTCCGACTCTGACGAGTCATAGGCCACCTTGAGCCGCATCGCAGCAGGAGATGACGGCTGCGATCCGCCTCGCTGTCGATATCGATGTCGGAACAAAAGAACGTTTCATCCTCATTCTGAACTTCAGCGGCTACTTCAGCATCCCACTCCCCACCAGGCTCGAGCTAGCTGTAGACAATGACTGCCGTGTGTGCTCTGCGAACAGCTCTGGCGTCCGCAGCCATCGCAACAAGATCAAGGAACACTGGACTCGCCACTCGACACTTCTTCAACTTCAAAATAAATTACTTCAACTTCAAGCAAAGAGTTCAAATCAAGAAGTCGTCGCGCTGTTTGCAGCGCGATCAAAAAATCGTTGAACGTGACAAATCGACCTTTTTCTCGAAAAAATTACGAAATCTCTAAGGGTCGTTTTCGCTGATTGCGGCTCAAATACATGATAAGACTGACCAGGCGAGAACAGTCTTCATGGCACCTTAAAGGACCAACGCAGACCTGGGCATGCATTAACAGCAAAACTATTCTTGTAAATATGAAGAAGTGTTTGCCGAAATAGTTACAGCCAAAAGAATGTACAAATGGTGGTACGAGGCCGAGACCAAGCCCTTGGCGACTAGAAAACGACCCTCTTAGAGAAAGTACTTTGGAAAGGGGACACCTGGATCAGTGAATAGTCTACGAAGTATTTACAAGTAACGTCGAGCACATTTCTTTTCCATCTCACAGTTTCACGCTTGCGTGATGATCAGGAAATTTTCTGGTATGACTAATGCACAGGAAAGTAAGTGACGAATCTTTGCGCGAGGAAGACATTGGGAACCACGCATATATATGCTCTCACACCCGCTACCACTCTCACACAGTTTGTGATACACACGCATGTACACATACACACATGCACGTGCGCATGCCATAACAACAACAAACAAACAAACATATACTCACACTCTTTCCAACGCACAACCGCACGGCCACACTCACGCACAAATGTGCGCACTCGCACACACATACGCAAACACTCCGCCTCACACACTCACACACTCATACACACACACACACGCCCGCGTGCGCGCACACACACACATACACGTACACAAACTCACACCTATGTTTAACACCTTCACGCTGCCCACTGGGAAACTTAAACACAATACATCGTCACTTATCCACACATACATTTGATATCTGCTCATATTCACGCCGGCATACACTTTGAACTCATGCTCTCTCATAGGCACAATTTACAGGCGAACACTCCTACACTACACACACGTGCATACATGTAAATACTGTTCTCTCAACAGAATCCTCACATTTGCACCCAGGACACTCATCCATGCACACCACACACTCACCTATACCCACTGCACGCTCAGCTACAGACGCACACACTGGCACATCCAAGCACACGCTTTACCATGCACCCACACGTATCCACATGCATACAAACACACACGCACACACACGTACATACCCAAATATGGCATGGTAGAGCCGCTCTGCCAGCATGCATTTAGTTTCGCTGCTATGTGAGTACTCCGTCAGTGTAAATGTGAGCAGGCATCATGTGCATGTACGGATGAGTGTCACTGTGAATGTGTGGTTTATGAGTTACCCAGTGGGCAGCGTGAAGGTGTTCAGTATAGGTGTGAGTTTGGCTTGTGTGTGTGGAGGGGGGCTGGGAGGGTGAGGATGAGTGTATGCGTCTGTATGTGAGTGTATGGGGGGGGGGGAGGGAGCGCGTACGTATGTGCGTGTTTGTGGAGATGGGGGTGTTGAAGTGAGTGTTAATACTAGCACTCATGTTTGTGTGTGTGGTTGTTTATTGCACACGCACACGCGTGTGTGTATGTGCGTGTGTGAGAGTGGGTGTGGGTGTGAGTGGTACCCAACCACTGAAAAGCGAGCTTGCGGAGCTGTCCGCCTTCCATCTTCGCTGCATTTCCGCAATCTTAGCCCTAGGTAGAAGAGACACCTGGGACTTCCACATCAACAGGAAGACCATTCTGGAGGCCTGGAATCGTCGAGATCCAGTGGATATTACCACACGTGTTCTTCGCCGCCGTCTGGAGTGGCTAGGCCATCTAGCTAGGATGGACGGCGATAGAACTCCGCGCCAGCTCCTGTTTGGTGCGCTCCTTCCGCCGAGGCCGGCTTGCGGTCCTCGGAAACGGTGGCGAGACTCTGTCAGAGCTGACCTCTCCGCAGTGAACATCGACCACACGGAATGGTACGACCTCGCCCAGGAGCGTGGGAAATGGCGCAGTGCGTATTCCGCTCAACCAGTACCGCGATCGGCTCAGCGTGACACTTCTGTGCTCTGCGATGTTTGCCAGCGTACTTTCGCCCACCAGAAATACAAGAATCGCCACAAGTGCCTGGCCGAGAGGAGGAAGCCCATATCTGAGCAGTCTGGCAGCCGACTATGTAATGCGTGCGGGAGATGGTTCTTGAGTGCTGGCGGGCTAGCTTCGCATAAGTGTCTCTCCAACTCGGCTGCTGAAGTGGCGTCGGTCTCGGCTGTGGCATCGGCAGACTCGGTCCGGAAACAGCGGGTTGCCCTGCCCTGCTGCAGAGCGCATTGTCTCGGCTGCGGTCGCTGCTGCAAGTCATCCCGTGGTTTCGACCTGCATAGCTGTGCTAATTTCCTGTCCAGGAAGTAGAGCGGCGTTTCTGGGTCCAATGCTGAACTCAGTGCTGTCGACCCCTGCACAGGGGACACGTGACCATTTGATGGCAGTGTTACCAAGGACCAAGGACCAAGGGGTGTGAGTGCACAGATATACGAGGTTCCCACTGTATTCCTAACACAATGATTCTTCAGGTACTTTCCTGTTCATTATACATTTGTAACATTTCATTATTCCTCGTTTCAGATCAGAATAAGATTAGTATAGCCTGATGATCTTGCAAGCGTGAAACTCTGAGTTGCAATAAAGTTTCCACCATACTTGTAAGGAAGCTGTGCCCTTCCGTTTCCTTTGTGTTTAGAGGGGAATTATCCTGTTTTGTAGAATGTTATTATGTCGGTGTGTTACGTATTATATACATTGAACAAGATCTTCCGTGGCTCACATATTCAGCACATCATTCCTATGGTTTGTATCTGGCCACAGGACTATGTCTGTCGCTGGACTGCCTATGTACTCGAACGAGGACCAAGATTGCTAATACATGTGAATGACTCTACAGACATGAACAAAATAGGACTTTCGGAAACGGTGCCAGGCATTTGTAGTATGTGGCTCATATTATCCGCACCTGGTTTTATATCAGCAATTGGGAGATCACGCTGTTCATGCGAGCTTGAATCCAAACTTGACAGACAACATCCAGCGTACACGAGAATTCTATCGAACCTTCCACTCACCAAACCTGCACGAAAGTACCAGTCCTGCTCAACACGCAGTGTTTCGGAGAACTAACCCCTCATCAGCTGAGTTTTAGTACGCTAATGGGATGTGTCCTCCGACAGCACTGCAGTATCATGACTGTAGTGCTCAGCGAGCCTAAACATCGTTGTGACCATGGTGTGTTGTTATTCTATGAATTTACAGCACATATACTGCTTGTTTTGAATGTTGTCGAGTTGGATCATACTTGTACTTCCTATACTTACCGTTGCCAGTTGCTGGCAGTTGCAGAAACAACGCAGATGCGTTGTTTCTGACTATCTGGCTCTCTCTTCCCTTGATTATTGTTGCTAGTTGCTCGGTTGACATTTTCTCTCTAATCCTTGATGGGTACGTCGATTGTTCAATCATTATTTTACTTGTTTTTTAACGAGTTTACGGTTCACTTTTTCAATTTCGAACGTGAGACCTCAAGGTCAAATTGGAGCATCTCACGTTGCAACGTCAGATTTCAACGCGACAGAGGGCCAACTCATGGTGAAAAATGCGATTCAACACAGGTTTTTTCTCATGTTCGAAATTGAACCACGTGAAGCATAAACGTTCTAATGTCGATCTCTTCGCCGAACTACTTTGCGCTCTGCGCCTGTTGCTAGTTTTTAGAATAATCGGATATTTCGAACAATCCTTGCAAACCATGCGATATATGTTGAAAATGGCAATTGAAAAAATGATCTCAGGAAAGGGAAATCAGTTCTAAAACTTATACAAAAGAGAAAGACCAAGGAACTACAAATTACGCTGTACTGTAGTTCCTTGGTCAAGCCGTTTGGAAAGCTGTGCGAGGTCAGGAGGCCGGAGTACTATTGAACGGTGAAAGGCTCCAGAATATTCTTCATGCTTTGTTTCTTCGTGATCGTACAGTGCTAAAACTAGTCATTGTTGTCTTCAGCATGAAGAATTGTAATTTAACGGCATGCTCGTGACTCCAGCCAAGAAATACAATGTCATGTAATCGTAGGGGTGGGGGGGGGGGGAGGGCAGAGGAAACATACATTTCACCCCTTTTTCCATGTTCCACTATTTCCTTGTCACACAAAATGCAACTTGCAAGTGCGCAGAGCATCCGAAACAACCGATCTGTGGCAGCACTTTCGAGGTTTGTACTAAAAACTCGAAAAATGACTAGGGCTGTGCCCCCTTACTCTTCTCTGGCTAGAACCTTGAAGTTTTCATATACTCCTGGTGCCTTAGAGCAACCAAGACAAGAGTGCGCCAATTCGCCTGTTACATTGCTTGCGTCATACGCGACGTCATGCACCTGGAGGAGGTTCTCTTTTCCTCGGGTGGCTCCTAGTAAACCACTGCTGTATTTCTCTTCACCTTGCTTGCATCACTAGCCATACTGTAGGGTATAGAGTCAAAGCTGGACAATATTCCACATGATGAAGAAGTCGGTTTGTACTTACCTACAATGTTGAGTTGATATGTCTGTGTAGAGTTGCCTGTAGCTGTTCTGCAATGGTACAGTCCAGTGTATGAAGTGTCCAGTATAGGATGTGCTGTGCTGTTCACCTGTACAGTAGTAACTCCTGAGAAGGCACCTGTCTCACCCAACTCTAGACTACCATCAGTCTTCTCTAGTCGAATGAATGCTCCTGATCCACTGGTCACAATACATACAGGTAAGTAACTGGTAACATCGGCTGTAGGTTGTCCATCACCAAATGTCACTGTGAATGGTGTTGATTGTCCTGTACCACTAGCGGTTAGAGTGACAGATTGACCTGCATGAGCATACACAACAGTACAGTGTCACAATAATTATTAGCTCAACACATCACTAGCACTGGGACTAGGTACACTCTACTGGGAAAACAATACTTTATTTACCGCTTTACAACCACTGGGGAAGGAAATGAAAGATACTGTATACAAAACAAAAGCAGAGAACTGAGACTTAAACCATACCTGACTGCCAAAACGGCGTTAAATACACACCCTCCCAAAAAAAACACTTTCTGAGCGTGAAAATTCAGAAAAAGAAAGCTTCTTTATTCCCCATGTCTCTCTGTTTGCTCGTGGCGAATAGTCGATGCAGGGAAGGCCATACCTAAATTTTTAGTTAGTACGTAGGTTTGTGTCTTGCACATAGGACCAGCGACTGTTCTCACCATAGTTTCTCCATTGTAAGTGATGCTGGGCTGGGCATTTCACATCATCAACACACAGAAACATAGTTCGCAGATGCGATACTCTTCAAATACTGGGATCAAGGAATTCAAACGCTGAGAGCCAGTTACTGTTCACAACAATGTCACCTCCAACAACTAGTCGCTCGCCCGTCTGAGCGATAACAATACGAACTTAGAAGTTGGCACCTCGGCGGTAATAGTGATGAATTTGGTCGCTCCAATGAGGAACATGCTTACTGTCGAATCTGACACTTGACTGACCCATGAATGCCATCCGGGGGACACGTGAAGCATGTCGCACTTTCCACTCGGATAACCTAAAAGCGCAACTCCCTGCTCAATACACAGTGTTTCGGGGAATTCGTCCCTTATTAGTTGAGCTTGACTAGGTTGGTAAAAGTTGTGCCTAAAAAGCACCATTTATATAGTGCTCTCCAAACGAAACAATCACCAGGGATACAAAATTACACACACGGTCCAGCGGGACAAACACCTCGCGAGGGCCCAGGTAGCAGCGGGAGTCATTCATGGAGTTGTGCTAAACAGGTATTGCGAGCTACCCAACGCAGTCATCTCCAAAACTCAAGTTCTTAAAGCCACTAGCTGCTCGAAAACCGGCTGACTTAAAATTAAGGAGAAAGACGATGTGAGCAAGGAATAAAAATGCTGAAGACAACTTTTATTGAAGATGATACGCTGCTATCACTGCTTTGCCCTATAATCTGGAAATATCCTGATCCATCCTTCCACTCGATTAGAACTCAAAATTAGATTCCTGTTGTCCTGCAAACAGGTTCTACGTCCATAACTCCGCAAAGTCACTTTTTAGATGTTCGACATTAATCCTATTTCTTTGTATGTTTTCTTTGTGTGTGTGTGCGTGTATTTCCCTTAAAGGTACCAGTGCATCTAGTGTCTGCTTCTATCAAAGCAGCGTGCTGTTTATACTAGTTACCTCAGCAAGTGTAGAGTTTGCATAGGTAACTGTCTTGGCCGTTCTATTCCGATGTGCTCCGTGTGATGTAGACCACGTGTGCATTGGGGGGTGGGGGGTGGGGGGGTCGATTCTCATGGCTTCACCATTTGTGTGGATTAGACAGTTATCTGGCGCTTGTGTTGATCTGTTTCAATCAGAATCAGATCCGCTATCGTTGCTAACGTTATAAAGAGAAAATCTGTGGGTGCACATCCAGTGCGTTTGCAGATTTAAGTGCTTCTCTTGCGACGGTACATGGTGTGTGTGTGTGTGTGTGTGTGTCCCATATGGTGTAGTGGTTTGTGCAGCGATTTCCGATCGATAGGTTGCTGGTTCGATTCCCGACGATTATGATCACACACATCTTTCTTCTCTTTCTCAGACTCGTTCTGACTTTTCTTTCATTCTCCTGGGTGGTTACCAATCACCAATGCATGCCGGAGGATGTGGTGTGATGTGTGTGCGTGAAACAGAAATGAAAAGAACAGAAAGTAGGGATTCACTGGCCAGAAAAAGCCATTTCATAGCTGTGTGGTGTAGACCAGGCTGAATTGTGGCGGTCAATTCTTCAGCCTTGCAAGCTGTTGAATGCTGCAATCCCAGCACAAGCTGCTATGGCCTCTGCAGTGGCATCGCTATAATCGCCTCCAGCGATGGGCGTCCAGTGGTCCAATGGTGTGTGCGCGTGTGAGCGTCACTGTATGTTTGAAGCCTACGACCATTGTGTTTACTATTTTCATCTCCACTCCGCCAGAACTATCCTGGTCGACTGACTTATTGTCTGGCCCAACGCTTTGATTTGATGTTCCATTTCACTGTTCCCTCCTTGCGATCCGGTTTAAAAAAAAGTTTCGAACCACGATTTGTCTGATCATCACGATTTGACGTGCAATTCAGATTCCTATTCGTCTACTGTAACAGCTTCCGCTGATTGTGCTGTGTGAAAATCTCTGTTCTAACTGGAACGAGCGATCTTCTAAAAGTTCAGGACCCTACTCCTCATTTAAAAGAGCCAATGTCTGTAGCCACCAAATGTCAATTCTTCCTTGAAGGGATTTCATTATTCCTTGGATGGATTACATTCATCCTTGAATATTGTGCAAAATCAACACGTCGACCAACATACGCACTGAGAGAAAGTATAAGAACAAGGGGCCAAGGCTGCTCACAACAATTTAGCCCAGAAACACGAACAAAATCCGCACAGCAATTCAAGTTACCTAGTACATGACTGTAATGTTTAGACATCTGACTTTTGACTGGCAACTAGATGAGTCCCTGGAGCGAATCGATCAATTCAGCCTGTCCAATAGCGGACATTACGAATGCCATTTTGAAGGGCCAGTGGCAGCGACATTACGTCCTAGTATTCGGGGTAGACCACCACCGTGGTCTGCTACAACATGTTCACAAGCACCAACAAGTTGTCCTGAACCAGGTTTTCCACTCAAATTCACGTGAGGAAATAATCAAATTTCAATTTCTCCAATGGCGATGCAGTAGCCGAATCCATTAGAGCGGTAGGAAAGCACACACGGATTGCCTTCATATGCCTTGTCGCTATGCTAGCAGCACTGAGACATCGTGTAAATAATCCATACTCTCGTAGAACCTCTTATTTAGCCGCGAAAAAGCTTCACCTTCTGAACAGCAGCCCAACATGACAGAAGAATAAAGAAGAAATGGTCCACAACAAATCACCAAGGACTGCAACAGTATCGAAAGTAGACCCGGAAATTTCTAGTGTACTGGCCAGCCATTGTGACATGTTGCCATGTTGTTGCATTGGCTGACTGTATGTGATCTCGTTACATAGGTGAACAATTGGTACGCCGCGGGTGCAGCGGTATGGCTCACCTGGAAGTGACAAGGGCGTTTCGACTCCCTGGGTTCGGTCAGCCAAGAAAGTCTTAAATCAGGCGAGAACCTCGTCTCCAAAGCCATAGTCAAATAGGTCAGAGCCTAGGAGTAGTATAGAAGAGGATGGTTCTGGCTCACCTGTTTTTTTGTCGAAAATTTTTTATTGGAAATACAAGGGGATGGTTCTGGCTCACCGGTTTTTCCAAATTTTTCTTAGTATTGGAAATTAGCGGAAGATGGTGTATTAAGGGTGAATGCGTTATTAGGGGTAAATGGGGTATTAGTGGTAAATCTGGTAAGTTTTGCGCTCACTTTTATAATACTTACTTTTTTTTAAAACTTTTTTTACCAAAGAGGGTGGTGGCGTTCCTGCGGATGGCGAAAAACTGGGCCTTCGGCCGAGTCTCACGCGAACCGTGATTTTTTGCGCTTGGTTTTGCGCTTACTTTTGCGTTAGTTTCTTGAAATGCACTGTTCGCGACTTGTAGCAATTTATCCAAAACTTTATTGTTAGCTGCTGAAGAAGAACACCACCACACACATCAAAGCAATTGCCTGACTCAAGCTAATAGTCCTGAACTCCTCTTTCTCTGTTCTTCTTTTTACTATTAACACCGCCCTACTGGAAAACATGCAGCGAACAACAAAAACAAGACACAGGGTGTGTATGGAAGACGTACCTACCGACGTGCTGGAAGCAACTCAACCGACTAGAGGCCTCGGCGTCAGCGTTGCAACTCGGCATCAAACACTTCTAGGCAAAAATAGTGAACGGATTGTGACCGTACAATATAGTGTGCATACTATTATGCATGTACATGCGCATGTACCCTTTTTTCTTCAAGATAGCCACAAACGGGTCCATCAAGGTGCTAGCGCAGGCAAAAAAGCACAGGAATGCACACAGCGATGGCAGCCGAAGCAGTGGAGGTGGGGCAAGAAATCTGATCAAGGGAATCGGCATCAACACTGCGCATGCACGCCAAACCAAAGCGGAATCGACAAAATAGTGCCATGCATTAGTCTTATGTATCACTGCATTATCTTCATTACAAAAAAATTCAACTAAAAAATAGCCGCTAACGCGGGAATACAAATATATTTTCTACAGAAAGCGAGCAGAACTAGAAGCGGCAACATGGTAATAGCTGATGTTGACACCACATTCTACCCCACAAAACAGTCACATATCGCTAAAAGCGCTACTTTTAGGAAATAGCCGCTAGCCATGACAACTATCAAACACAGGAAATAGCTGCTAATAGCATCAGTGGGAGTATATGATACGGTTATAGTCACTATATTCCAGCTGCCAACACTGGCAAATGTCATTAATACAGGAAATAATCCCTAGCAATGAAAATTTTCAGACGCGGTAATAGCCGCTAGCAACGTGTGCATCAGAAGCTAATATTATGGTTTTAGACGCCAAATTCCTGCAACTACCACTTGCAGATGCCGGTAACATAAGAATTAGGCGCTAGCGATGACAATCTGCATTTATCGCAATAGCCGCTAAGCACACCAGTACTAGACCCAACATGATTTTAACCGCCATTTTCTGACCACACACGCTGGTAAGTATCATTAACACTGGATATGGTCGCTAATAATGAAAGTCCACTGCGGTAGCAATAGCCACTATCAACACTGGAATAGACATCCATTAATCGTAGTTTCTCCGCTACCAGTATTTTAGCTTATCAATACCGGTAGTAGTTAGTTTCCTACAACTTACTTGAAATATGTT